TCTTACCCACCATGCTCTGGGGCTAGTGGTCAGCTGACTCCCCGGCTACCTGTCCACCTTGTAGCCTGCCAGGCTACAGCAGCGCTGCCCAATGCCAATTAAAGAGTTTGGTCTTGGAGTCAGAAGGGTCCTAATCACAGAAGTGAAGCCACCAACGACCTGCAGGCTGCACACAACAGTCCCTCCCAGCCATCGCTCTGGGCAATCGGTTCCTGCTTCCCTCTTGCTCAACGGGCAGGCCAGGAGGGCGAAGGGTTAACAGACAGCCTGGGCAGGAGAGTGCAAATTAATAGCTACTCCAGTTAATGAATACCCAGCCAATGAGAAGACACCTGCAACCCATTTGTTGGCTGGTTAAACAGTTATTTACAGCAGGGCACTAAGTGCCCGGCAGGAGAGAAAACCTGGCCCAGAGTTCAGCTGCTGGGAGGGAAACTCCCCAAGCAAAATCTGCTCTGTGAGGCAGGGAAAAACTGCAGCCCACTTCTCCTTCCTGGAGGTGGAACTTGTAACCGGCGGCCACCATGGCCGGTCGAGTGGTCAGAGAATCAGGACTCTGGGTCTCTCCCTGCTCATTCAGGCCGTCTGCCTGCCCCAGAGGGTGTCTGGAGCAGTCGGTGTTTGCCGGATTGTAAGTCTCTGCAGAGAGGCACAGGAGAAAGGCCAGGCTGGAGAGAGAGAGAGAGCTGAGACGCTGAAGGGCGGGGGAGGGCAAAGAACGGCATTCGTCAGGGGCATCCCTCCTCCCCCCGCAAAATTAAGAGAAATAAAATTCAACACGCCGGGCCCCTCACAGCCCAGGGACCCCCTCAGCTAAGCCCAGCCTACTTGCCCCCAGGCTCTTCATTGGGGGGGAGGGGCTGTATCTTTATTTAATAACGAAGCTTATCAGAGGCATGGGGCTGCACAAGGGGGACACCTCCCAGGCCTGGGGTGGGGAGGGTGGAGGAGGGCCCTGTGTGTGAGGGAAGCAAAAGTGAACGGCCTGGTGCTGCCTTCCTGAAATCCCCAGCAAACCGCACTCCGTGTCAGGAGCCGGACTGAGCCCCCCGGGCAGAGATGAGCTGCCGTAGACTCCCTTGGTGCCGCCATGCGGCTCTGGCCCCTGGCTGTATTGACTGGAACCTGTTGCCCTCCCTCAGGTCCTGCCCCGAACAAAGCGATGGTTCCTCTTCTGTGGTAGACACAGCGCCCCGCACCACCCCAGCCCCAGCTGCTTCCACAAGGCACAGCCCCCGCCCATGCACCGCTGCAGTCAGCTGGCTGACGGAAACACACATGCGTGGTATGGGGGCCCTGCTAGCCAGGCCTCTGGAGAACAGCCACGCATCAGAGTGCCCCAACCACATGTAGGGGAGAGGCCCAAGGCTCCATGAGTATTCGGTGGCAGGGCTTTGGGGGTCTCTTTTTGCCAGCCAAGTCAGCACAGAGGGCGCCAGAGAGCCCCCACTGCCTAAAGAAAGGGCCGGGACCCCATGGAAGCAGGTTGTCAAGCGGAAAGCTGGTGAGATCATGTGCGGAGCTGCAGCCTTGCGGGTTGGCTTGACAGGCAGCCGTTGCTGGCTCCTGCCCTCGTCCGCACCATGTTTTGCAACAGCCGCAGAGTCCGATAAGTTAAATACACACAGGGCAGCAGCTAAAGGTTAGTTTTCTCAGTATCTCGCCCCTGCAAAGGCTTGAGAAGCAGGTGCTGGAGACCCAGCACTCCCTGCCCCAAGCAGGTGCCGCACCAAACCACGTGCACTGGGGTGTGGGGTGTGTGCGCCGAGCTGGCCCTAGGGACAGTAACCCACTGCGACTGGAGGCCATGAGCCAGGCTCGGGAACTAACCAGTGCACAGAGACCCAACCCAGCCCCTTTCAAGGGGGATGAATGGCCGGGTTCCGTGGGTCCCCGAAGTGTGAGCTTAGCTTTTGGCTCAAACATGAGCCTTATGTTTGGATGGGGAGAGGGGGAGGAGAAGAACAATTAAGGGGGGCCCGGATGCGGCCCCTGGCTCATCAGGATCCAGCCCCCGAGGCTCAGGGCCCTCCCAGCACTGGGGAGCCCGCACTGGTGCAGGGCTGGAGCACATATATCTACTCGGGAATGTCTCTCTCCTTCTCAGTCGGGGGCCACGTCAGTCGGGGGCCACGTCATGCCACTCGTGGTCACATTTTTCTGTGGGTCAGCAGCCCCCAACCCAAAAAAGGGCTCCCCAGCCCTGACTGAAGGGCTAGTTAGCGAATCAGTGAGCAATGGCCCAGGGCTGGCCGGGGTTTGTACTCCTGGCAGTCGCCGGCTGGATGGGGCAACCACAGGGCTCGCTAGAGCACCCCACTTGCCATCCAGCTGCCTTGCTGGGGGCAGTTGCTTTCACTGGAGGGCAGCTCAGAGGTGCTAGGGGCGAGGCACTCGGCGCTGGGCCCCGTTTGCCATCATGTGATGAGGCTACGGACTGAAGCCCCTTTAAGACATAGCCGGGGCCCGAGGCTGCACTCTGCGAGGCCCTAGAGAAGGTCCCTTTGGAGGGCTGTGTCCAGCACGGGCCAGCTGGCAGCCTTGCCCTTGGCCCTCGACAATGCCAGGTAGGAAACTGAGCTGCGGCCCATCCTGCTGGCGAGCAGCAGGTGCCAGGCTGAGCTTGGCTACAGCCTCTCTTCAGCCCAGGCCAGGTCGAACAGCTGCAGCGAGGTTCTGCAGCAGCCCAGCTGCTGGAGCCAGCTTTGGACAACTGGAGGCAGGGTCCAGTCAGGGGAAGCTGGTGGAGGACACCGCGCAGCTGTCTGAGCCAGAGGCAGCAGGGGGAAGAGATGCACTGGGCTGAGCGCTCCCGAGAAAGCATCCAGACTGAAGAAGTTACGCGTGTGTCATTTTGCCTACCAGTATTCCCACCCTGAGATGCGACTGGGTACTCAGATAGCTCTCCTACAGCCTGGGGAGTCAGCAGCTGATGTTAGGGCGTGGGCAGAGCTGAGACCCACCGGGCCAAGAGCAGCATTCCCTCTAATTTTTTGCACGTGCGGAATAAACTTTGTTAGGTGCACCAAGGCATGTGACAATGTGCACCACCAATATAAACACGTGCTGCCAATTGGGAGCTCTATGGGCGCTCTGCTATCCACTGGGCGGAACCTGACTCTCCTGGGTGGCCACCCAAGTGCACAGCTTACAGAGAATGCTGGTTGAGAGCTCCCCCACCCTATCTGTGGCATAGTCAAGACTCGCCCAGTCCTGCCAGCTATCGCCGCAGCTCCCGTCACGAGGCCTCTGCAGGGAACATACAGGCTTCGCATTCCAGTTGCACTAGCTTACAGAACGGGCGTGCATGAGCAGGAGAGCGGCACCCTCAACTATCCTCGAAAGAGCCAAAAGTGGGAGCAAACTCAAAGCAGGTTTTGCCAGACACAGCAATTGCTGGGCCCCCCCGCCCCCCCGCCCCCCCCCCCCCCCGTTCTTAAGGGGAGTCCCCAGCAGAGAGCCCCGGGCAGGGCGGGCGCACGGTTCAAAAGCTACGTACGTTGCTGATCTGGTCCTGAGTCTTCTTGATTCTCTGCAGCTCGGGGGTGTCGGCCACCACGCTGAAGCCCTTCCCTTTGTTCTTCTCAAACTCCTCCTTGTAGCGAATCTGGGCACGGGACAGAGAAAGGAAACATGCTGCTGTAGGCACCGGGAGAATCCTGCCGAGCCGCGGGGGGCAAGGCACCGTCTCTAGGGGCACGTCTCCGCTGCATGCTCATTTCGGAATAGCGCATCTATACGGCAGGGGAGCCTCCAAATCACTCCGGGGCAGGATCCCCTCATGTAGATGCACGACCTCCATGTAGAGCCCCAGGAGGCACTGGGGAGGAATAACGTAGAGTGGCCCTGGGCGGCAGGAGCGTCTACACACGCCTTACTGCGAAACAGCTATTTCGGAAGAGGAGTTATTCCTCGTGGAAGGAGGTTTACAGATTTCGGAAGACGCCGTCCGTCATTTCGAGACTGTTTCGAAATAACGGAATGGCTGTGTAGCCGCTCGCTTTGTTATCTCGAAATGACAGTGCAGCGTAGATGCACCCTACGTGGCACCCCCTCCCTTCTTTCAGCTTTTCATGTGGCCCCCAAGGCAGCCTTTTCCCAGCCGACATGGCAGAGTGGGCTATCGCCCGACAGACACACCAGCCCTCCAGCAACAAACTAGAGAATCGGCCACCTCTGGGGTGGAACACGGTTAGGACGATCCTCACCAGGTCACACGGCAGGGGGAATTGTGGGAAGCAGACCACAGTGACCTCGATTTGTATTGGGCTAGTACATGGGGATCAACAGATCTGTTCCTGGGGGGCGGGGAGGGGGAGTCCGTCGTGTTTTAATTTTTCAAAGGCTCTGAGTCAGAGGGACCTGCCTCATCTCTCCTCGGGGAGGCAGCCATTTCAGCAGCACACAACTGCGTTTTACACCCAGACCTATCGCCTTGAGCTAATGCCACCCACAGGGCTTGCGGGGAACCCGCTCCCCCCCCACTACAGTTTCACCATTCCCCAGAAAGTCAGCCAGAGCGACAGTGGCTTGTACAGAGGCTGAGACGCATTGCCTGACTTCACCCCTCCGGCGAGGAAGGGACGGCACGAGGAGGCAGGCTCAGCTGCCGGCCACTTGGCTAGCCGGCCACCACTGTCTACACACCCGTCAGCAATAGACCAGATCTCGCGGAGCAGTAGCAGGCCAAGCAGCACTTCCCAGCCTCCGTGTGGGAGGCGGCTGCCTGCCTCCGGGCCTTCCCTAGCCCCCTCGCTCAGCGGCCACGGCGTCCCACAGGACGGGTGGGTGACTGGAGAGCTCCAGGCTAGGGAAGAGAGTCACTGTGACCCCAGGCAAACAAGCCCAGATAAGCCCCCGAGCACGGCCATTGCTCAGTATAGCTCTGCAGGCAAGGCCTGGGATTCTCAGCCTCAGAGACTCCTCTCTTCGCAGGACGGCCCTGCTTTACCTGTGGAATATTCAGTTTCTGGGGGCACCGCTGCGAGGGTCAAATCCAGGCAGATTGCTTAGAACAGGGGCTCCCACCTTTTTTACACCGCAGACCGGCAAAGCCATTCACACACTTTTGGCAGACTGGTAACAGTTACATTTTCGCATATTCGTTATGTAAATAATAAATATGCAAATAATGTTACCAGTCCACCAAAAGACGTCCCCCAACGCAGCCCTCCGAGCCGCCGCAAACGGCCGGCTTCAGCTCTGGCAGCCCGGCACCGTCCGCAGAGCAGGGGTTGGGAACCGCGGGCTTAGAACCAGGGCTACCGACAGCCCAAGACTGGCAGGCACCAAACCAGCCCCAACAGAGACTTCTTTGAATGAGCTGCCCAGAAGCCCCGCAAAGCTCACATGTTCTGCCCTCTCCCCTTGGGATCCCACCTTCACTAAGCAAGTAAGCCCAGGCCTGGAGCATTCACTGGTCACCGCACACCAGCCCTGGGAAGGCAGGCCAGTAACTTGACTCAGCTCTGAGCCCATTGTCCCCCGAGGGACGGGCACCCTGGGCCACGGCCCCCTCTCGACCGGGCTCCTCCACAGTCCCCGCCTGGCCCCACGTGAAGCTGGGGCACTCTGGGGCAGAGCGCTCCAGAGCCCTGCTGCTGGCGGCGAAGGGAGGAACCGGAGCAGGAGTCTCTACCCAGAGAGGGGGCCGGGCGGGCAGGAGAGCAGGAAAGGGCAGGGCAGGGGAGCATGTGGACACCTCACTCCTGCCCACGGACTCCTCTCCTCAGCTACCTCAGAGCCGGAAGAGAAACGCTGCTCTAAGCAGCTGCCAGACTCGCTGGTGTCTGGCCAGTTCCATCCGTTTCCTGTAACCCTGCCCCTCCTGCAGCCTAACCGGAGCACTGCAGAGGCCGAATCCCAGCTGGCCAGGGAAGGGTCCCAGGGAGCAAGCCCCAACCCCTGCCTGGACCAGGCCTTCAGAGAGTTGTCCACGCACGCGGCACGGACTACCTGGGCGAAGACCCTTCCGCGGGCCAGCCACACGAGCGGGGGCGGTAGGAGAACAGGTCCCTGGCTTCTCTCACCCGTGGCCCAGGCAGATTGCAGGCCTTGTTTCCTCGGCCTGGTCTGCTGCACACCACGCAGAGGGAAAGCCTGGGGACCTCCCCCTTCCCTCCTCACCACCCCTCGTTCAGCCTAAACCCAGACTCTTTCAAGCGGTCTGGAGAGAACAGATCCCACATTCCGCAGAGCAGCGGGGCCAGACGGCTCCTACGCCTCTGGAAACTGAAGCACGGGAAGCAACTTGCTCTGCCGGGGCCAGTTTCCCTGGGCCTGGGCCTGGGCCGGAATGAAACGCTCTGGGGAGGGCAGCGAGCGCCTTTTAAAGTGCAGCGTGGCCAGGCAATGGATGATCTAACACGCCCAGCCGGCCAAGCCCCAGGCTCCCTCTCAACCAGCCTCGCCCGTCTACAAGAGACTTTCTGCAGGGCTCAGTGGACCCCTGCTAACCAGCAGTAGCCCAGCAGCCCAGCTGGAAAGCCCCCCAGGGCCTCCAGTCAAAGGCCAGGAACCCACGGCACTCCATGCTGTATACACCAAAGCGCAGCACAGTGCAGCGGTGCACGACACAGCCGCTTCGCGTGCAAGAGAAGCGGAGGCTAAGGAGGCTGCTGTGGGGAGGGTTTCTCAGGCTCCTCCCAAGCAGGAGGGAGGAGAAAGCACAAAGGCGTTGGTTTGAAAGTCAAACAAGCAGGTCTAGGAAGCCGGCTTCATTGGCCACTGGCTTACATCAGACTTGGCGTTTTCTAGATTCCGAGGCCAGGCCTGGTACTGACGGCCTCTCCTGAGGAGTCCAACCGGGCGGCCCCAGGACCTGCCTGAACCGGCACTGAAAGAGGCAACAGCTCCAAGGGCCGGGCGCAACCAGCAGTTTAATTTGACAAAGCAGCGTGTGCGAGACTCTGGGCGTGGCCGGCCTTTGCGCACGTGCCTTGAAGTCGGA